ATAAAAAAATAAATCATTATAAAACATACGGAATTTTGATATAGAATCATTAATTACGTATATAAACCTTAAAAAAAACGTATTATTTTCTTATTTCGATTTCTTATAGGGAAGGCTTTAATATCTGCAAAATTCAACAAATACTGTAAGGCTTCTAATATCCGTAAGATTCAACAAATGCTGCAAGACTTCTAATATCCATAAAGTCTACAAGCTGCAAATTTACAATATCTAAAAATGTGCAATATTCGCAAATTGTAGCAGTTGCAAATAGGCTATGTATCCAAAAGTGCGCAGTATCAAAAATGTGTAGTGGCTGTATATCTGAAATTAATTAATTTTAGCATTGGTATAAGATATGCTTAAGGATTAAAAATTAATGTATATAATAATATGTATAATATTTTACAATTATTTAAAACTTTATTAAATAATATAATAATATTAACGAATTTAAGACCTATTTATATTCAATTATATATGAAAATAATGTTAAAATAATAAAAATAATCCAATCTATGATGAAGAGATGCTAATAATCCTTAAAATGATATATTAATTTAGTTATTCTAATCATGTAATGATTCTGATGCTTCTTTTTAGTGATGAATCTAATGATAAGTTAATATAGTTGTAGTTATTTATTTTTTTTAAAAAATTAAGAAACAAAATTTTCCTTCTATAGAACTTACCTCCAAACTTGAAGAATTCTGATCAAAGACTTGAAGAATTACAAAAAGGTAAGTTTCGTTAATTTTTGTTTTTTTTTAATAAAAATTATATTTATTGATTTTTCCTTCATAGAACTTACCTTCAGACTTAAAGAATTCTGATCAAAGGCTTAATAGAACTACAAAATGATAAGTTCGTTAATTTTATTATTTTTTTAATAAAATCAATTAATCAGATTTCCTTCTATAGATTTACCTTCGTACTTAGTATATTAGCTTGAAAGATTACAAAAAGATAAATTTCATTGGTTTTTTTTTTAATGAAATTTAATTAATTGATTTTTCCTTCATAGACTTACCTCCAGCTTGAAGAATTTCAATCAAAGGCTTGAAGAACTACAAAAAGATAAGTTTCGTTAGTTTTTATTTTTCTTAATAAAAATCAAATTATTGATTTTTCTTCTATAAGACTTACCTCAAACTTGATTTGTCAGCTTGAATAACTATAAAAAGGTAAGTTTATTAGTTTAAATGCTTATTTTTTTTAATAAAATTAATTAATCAAATTTCCCTCTATAGGACTTACCTCTAGATTTGTAGAATTCTGATCAAAAGCGAGATGTAATCACATCATAATTATTTTTTTTAACTAGTTAATCTAATTATATATTAATAAATAATAAATAAAAGTCACATTACTACCAAACACAATAATAATTCAGATCCTTCTTATTTGTCTAATGAAAATTTATATTATTGTTATTATTACTATTTACAATTCAATTATCATTTATTTAAAAATATGACAAATCTGTTTATTATTTAATGATTTAATGAATTGAATTGAAAGGATTAACATGTTTATTCTGGATCATATATCTAATTGGGATCAAATTTTGATTTTGAGTCACATTATGTGCGTTTAAAAAATAAATTTGTAATATAAAAAAACCAAAAAACTAATTGCAAATGCAAAATATAGAAGGTGCATTTAGCATTTAAGTCCCAAGTTTGAGACCAGACTAAATCATACATTTAAAGAGGGTATACATTTATAGAGGATGCATTTAGAGAGGTCTCACTGTACTATTTTTTGTTTATTTCTTAATAGCCTTATAAAATAAGATGATGAATGAAAATAACTAATAATTTTAATAGCTATTGTTAAAATACATTGATAAGCATCTGACTTCTTAAAAATTTCACCTACTACTAAATTTAACTGATGAATTATGCATAGTAAGAAAACCTTATTAGAAAATTCTACTCGCATAATTCTCCTATTGAAAATGAATTTTAATTTTAAAATAATAAATAAAATGGATGTATTATATATGTTTTAAACTAAAAATATTAAAATATATACCTTGCAGCTGCATATTCACCTACTGAATCTGAAGCATAGCAGTTTATTTTAATATTTATTTTCAATGTCAACCATTATTTTTTTAATATGATTGATAATATCATCAGTTTTTGATCTTTTATTGCTAATATTATTTACATCTTAAATAAGAGTTTCTCCTGTTGATTTTATAAAAATAACTCCAAACAAGTGTTCTTATTTAACGTTAGTCTATCTATCAAAGGCTGCAGTTACTCTGATTTTATCATCTTTTGTTATTTTTGTAATTGATTGTATTAAAAGTTTAGCAGATTTTGGTAAAATTCTATCACTCATTTTTCACCGACCTGGTAATTTAAAGCTAAAGCGATAAAAACAAAAAACATCTTTTGTTTCTTGATTTTCAAAAAAGTAAAAAATAATCCATTTGAAACTAACATTCACAAAAGTAAAATTTCAAAATATAACATATCTCTTTTTGTTAAAGGTTGTAATACATAATTTGTAATATCCTTTTAAGTAACAATAGCTGATAGTTCTGTTATTAATTTTTCCTCTTCATTTTCTGAATCAGATGATGATTCATTATCTATAAATAAAAAGAATGTATATTAGTTAATTAAGAAATTTACTAGATTTTATTGATTTATTACAATATTTATTATCTGATTCATCTTCAATTATGTGTATATTCTTTTCTTTTTCATCAATTTTTCATTATTTTTATCATCTTCTGGAACTCTTCGTACTAAAATTTCCTTTCTTTCCTTTTCTGATACTTGATTTCCAAAACTTACACATTTAACAAGATGTCTATGACAAAGTTTAAAACAAAGCAGTCAGTCCTAAGTAAAGCTATGGATAATGTATATTCCTTTATACAAATTTATAAACTGCTCGCTTATTGGCTGTTTTCTTTGATAGATCAATTAATATAAAAAACTCTCGAAAATTGTGTGGCTTTTTACCTATACTTGTAAATGTTTTGTAACTTTCGTATAGAAAATAAATGCAATAGCTAAAAATGCATCTTTTTAGATTTTGTGTAAGCTTTTTATTCAGACAAAGCAAATTTCTCAAAAGGATAAGACACATTCTTTATTATAAATATTTTCATATTCCTTGTGTTAAAATTTTGGTTTGAGTAATTGAACTGAAAATTTTTTTTTGCACGCTAAATAAAGTTGATCAAGTTGTATAACATTTTTTATTGGTTTACATAAATGACTATGCAAATGACAGCCAAATAACATTGAATGACCTGGTCATATGGGTCATTTGTCATTTGTGATATGACCCATTTTGAATGACCCAAATGACTAGGTCATTCAAAGGTCTTTTGACTGTCATTTCAAAATAGTCAAATGACCTGGTCATTTTTCATCACTTGAAGAGTTACATCTAAGACAATATTTTTATACCATGAACAGGGTTGGGAAGTACAGTGTTAGTATAATGATTAGTACAATTAGTACAGTTAGTACATTATAATAATTAATATAGAAATTAGTACAAGTACAGTACAAGTATAGTGTTAATTTTATCTAGTACATACAAAATTCCCAACCCTGCCATGAGCATGTAATCCATAATTCCCATGTTTTATCTACCTTCTATACATTCCTCATCATGATCTAACTTGCATAATGGTAATTCCATAGTAATCAAAATCTTCACTACTAAATTCTCTATGTAAATTAGGATATTGATCCAATGTATTGTTGCGAAAATAGGTGCGATCATAAGTTGGACTAGATTGAGATGCAGATAATACGTTTTCTGATGTACTCCAAGCCTTGTTTCCTCGCTTATGTCTCTGATGCTTTTAGGTTTCGAAGTCACGTGTCCGTTTCAATTAGGAACGCTCCTTTTGGCATTTATTTGTATCATCCATATTAGCAGTCTTGCTTGGAATATTGGGTTCGGATAAATTAAAAAATGGTGTTACGTTCCGGATCTTAACTAGCATTAATTTACCACGTGACGGACGGTCCCTTAAAAAAAAGTGTCAAGAATTCTGATCAGTAGAGTTCAATCCGGTCGGCTTCATGTGGTCCAAGGACTGCGGGACTGAGCTCAATAATTTTATGAACCGGTTTGTAACTAATTTAGACCGAAAAAATTAATTTAACCAAAAAAAAAAAAATACTATTCTTAAATTATTTTTCTATTTTCAGTATTGGTTTTTCTTTTTTCCGAAATTAGTTGTTCAATGGATGTAAAAACCTTATTTTAGTTAGACGCGTAAAGACGCGTGGATAAATCATTTGATAAACTATTGAACCGGTCTAAACCAATCCAGATCGAAGTGATCTTACCTCAATCTGGACCTATGATCAGGAACTGTCCAACGTTACAAGGAAATAAAAGTCCGTTTGTGATCTTAACCAAATTTGATTTTGATTTTTAAAAAACAAATTAATTATTCCCTCTCGTAAAAGATGGTCATTCATTGTGCCGAGTGTAAAAGGAAAAGTGTCTTTATAGATAATACCGGGCAGGCTGCCGAGTTTTGTTCTAATCAATGTCGAAGAACTGCCGTAGAAAAACGTAAGTTGCATATATTCAAATATAAAACGAGTTAGTGTTTCAATTTACAAATAATTCCATTTTATATCATAGGTCATGTTCAAGCATGTATTAAATGCCGTATTATGCCTATGATAAGGTTGCAAGACGGTTCAAGGTCCCCTTTTTGTAGTAAAAAATGTCAGAATTCAATAGGTGGAAACTCACCTATTACTATTAGACCTCCTCCTTTACCTTCTATTCCATTGCAACCGCCACAACCTTATCGACCTGCCACCTACTCGGTGCCGCCATTGAATCATCCTAATCCTTCTATTGGAATGCCTTCACAATCTTCAATGCCCATTTTACCAATTGGAAATGCGAGACCAATCGGAGACAAATGGGTTATGGCGACAGTACCATTTTGTCGTTATTGTAAGGTCAACCCTTGTTGGAAAGATCAAGCTAAACTATCTTATTCATCTTACTGTACACGAAGGTGTAAAGATGCTGCTGAACGTTTGTATATCTTTAATATACTTTGTTTATTGACAATTTATTTACTTAATCAAATAAATTTTTTTTTTATTAAAAAAAGAAGCTCCTCTAGTTGTCACAAATTTAAATAGTGTGCCTTTTACATCCCAATCAAGTTACAATGGACAAATATTATCTCCGACTACTTACAACGGGATATTAACATCATCAAACTTGCCTCAATATTTACCATACCAACAAAATAATATTCAGCAACCACAATATCAATTAAACAATATACAACCGCAGCAACCACCTTTGCCGAATTTACAACAGTTTCCGAATTCACAGAATATCATTCCACAGTCACATTTGCCTCACAATTCATCAAATAACATACATCTACCACGACAAGTTCCAAGTTTACCAAATAACGTACAATATCAGCAACAGACTCAAAAACCATTAATTAAATCACAAAGGTCTTCACATTCATCACTTAATGAAAATCTTTCGCAGCCTGTGATTGATGATCCTCGTTATCACACGCAAAACGAACATGTTCCGCAGCCTGTAATCGATAATCCTCTATATCCAATTCCACAAGCTAAAATAAATTATCAACATAGCGATGATTCGCAAGACGAAAGTTCTCAAAGTTCGCTAGCGAGTAGTGGTCGTATACTTTATCCTGTTGTGGACAATACAATGTCAAATTTTCAATCTTCAGACAATCAAACACCACCACCACCGCCTATTCCTACTAATAAACCAATCATCCAAGTTCCACAACATCAACAACACATCAGCCCGATACCAATTAATATTACAATTAATACTTCCCAACCGATACAATCATCCCAACCGATATATTCATCCTCATCATCTCAAAACTCAACAGAAAATCATTCTTTTTCACCTACATCACATCAAAAACCGGAAGCTCAAACTCCCTCTCAGGAACAAAAAATATCCCAATCTCAAGTGCAAGTCAGTCAATCCAACATATCTCAATCTCAACTGCAGGTTCAAGAACAAAATCTTCCCGAACTTCAAGTTCAATCTCAGGTTCAGGAACAAAATCAACCTCTATCGCAAGAGCAGGGGCATTCAAGTGGATCAGAAGAAATTAATGATAATTTTGCGATTAATCCTTATAGTCATGAAGATAACCCCCCACCATACACACCAAATGATGCATACACAGGCAATGCCGCTCCAGGCGAAGACATTTCAATTCGTAAAGTTACTAGAGATGATTCTTTTGACGAAACGAATCCTTATGGATTTAGAAATAATGCAAATGGCAATGATTCAAATAACCGGGATGAAAGTAATCAATCTAATAATGACCGAGAACAACAACCTCAGCGCGATACCTCTCGGCGAAAATAGTTAAATGGAAAAATAGGTTAAATTATAAATTTGTATATTATTATTATTATTATTATTACCATGGAAAATTAATGATAAACATAAACAGAGAATTAAATTATTTTAGTTACTACCATTTCGTATTATTTATTATAGTGAATCTTCACCTAGATATATATCATGGGTTTTGTCATATTTTTAATAAAAGTAATTTGAAATAAATAATCAAAAACCACCTTTGATATCAACCATTCAGAATTTAAACCAAAATGAACAGTAAAAATTTTCTTGATGCTTTTTAAAAATGTGTTACAAAATTTATTAATGTTAACTTTCTTATATAATTAGAGAACTTTTAAAGAGGAAAACGGTACATTTTTTATTTGCATCTTTATAAGGGAATTTAGATCTTACTTTGAAGCAAGCTAAGCTTTTTTGGGAAAACGAGCTTTTTGAGCAATTGATAATTCAAACACGGATATGTTAAATGGTTAGACTAGATTAACTCGAATAGTAAAATCTAGATCGCTCATCGAAATTTTGCAAACGCCGGTGTGATAATACAAAATATGATCGGCAAAATGATCGACATGGTGATATAAGTTGCTGTTAGTAACCTTTCTCGTGTTTGAAATGAAAACGGACTTTTTTTCAGAATCTTTAGATTGGACTCTTTTGAACTTCCTCCGTTTTTTGTAAGAAGGAAGAGAATTGTTCGGCAAACAAAATGAAAGAACACAACACATATGTTAAGACTTTGGGTACGGTTGCAGTCAGTGGCTCGAGTCAGTGGCTCGAGAAAACGCCAATCTTTGGCGTTTTCCGCTCTAAAAGCTTTTAAAGTTAAGTGTTAAAAACCGTGCCAACGAACTAAATGCAAAAATAAACTTTTATAGAGAACTGGGCTTGGAGGTGCGGGCATCCCCAAGTTTTTTTTTTTTTTTTTTTGATGTGGCTCTGCCAACTATTTTATTAAGATTTATAGATTTTTCCGAAGAAAATAAAA